CGCGCGCGCGGCGGAGAATTACCGATCCGACGCGGATCGTCAAACGGAACGGGAGCGAGCTCGGCCCCGATCGCCCCGAGAGAGCGAGAGAGAGAGAGAGAGAGAAAGAGGCCGCCGCGAACGGAATGAACATCGACGGCCGAAGTGGATTATTAAATCCGATTTAAAAATTTGTCCCCCGATCCGAGGCGTGCCGTTCCCCCGCCCGGACACTATTATCCCCCGGGGGCGGATTATCGGAGACGCGCGGTAAAAAATTTGTTATCAATCACGCCGCGCGGATCGGCAGACGGAACGAAAATGGTGCGCGCGGCGCGAAAATCGACCGTTAAATCCTGCAAAGAGGGGGGGGGGCGAAAAAAAGATCCGCGCGGCGCGAATCGTCAAACACGGCCGCGGACATTATTAGCCCGAAAGTAGATTATCGTGCGCGACGAGGAGGGATCGGTTCGAGAGCGGATCAAACGCGGCCGAAGGCAATCAATGTTTCACGGCGAAACTGCGTGGTCCCCGCAATTCATTTTTTTTCACGTCGCATTATTTCGGCTCGAGTGTCGCGCACGGGCTCGCTCTTGTACAAATTCGCGGCTAATTCGCGGTGAGTTACGTCCGCGCGACCCGACGCGATTAAATTCCCCTCTCGCGTCGTCTTTAAGGCGGATTACGCGAAAAATAAAAAAAAATACTGCATATTAAACGAATTAACAACGGATCATCCGTCTCCCCGGGGAGAGGACCGCGCCCCTCCTCTTTACCCCATACGTTATTTCCCATTATCGTCCAAATGCGACAGTAATTGGTTTTCTATCATTGCGCGCGCGTTAATGGCAATTTTAAATTAACGCTGAGTGGATATCCGTCGTAATTAACGGTTCAACTGTTTCAATGCGGGACGCAAGCCACCGTCGTTGCAGGATATATATTGCCGAACGGGGGGGGGGGGAGGGGACGACAGGGGGGACCCCATCTCTCACGGGCGCGCACGCGACGCCGCGCGGCGCCATTTGCTCGTGTAATTAATATCTTTTTCGGATGTACATTAAATTTCCGCATTACGGACCTCTGTGAAGTTGGCACCTCATGTCTCAAAAAATAATTTTTTTTTTACAGTTCTGAATGCACCCCGAAGAGTTCTAGAGTTCCTTATAAATTTTAAACATAGTTCTGGCGAATTAACCTAAAAAAGTTAAATTTGAAACTTGGGGATGCTAACTTCACAAAATGAAAACTCGAAATCGCGATAACACT